AAAAAAACTTTTAATATATTTAAATAATTTGTATATAGATTATAGAAATAAAATAAAAATACAGTTTTGAATAGTTTGGTCATATAATTTGTTGATAAATTTAAAATTAAGAAACAGGAATAATTTTTAATGTGCTTTTCGTGATAAATTTAATTAATTATATATGCATTACAAATCTTATTTTGTTATTTTTGTAGTTTATGTAAATTTATCCAATAAACTTTATTAAATAATATAAAAAAATATTTAAAGTCATCTTTTGAATTTTAGCAAATTAGTATAAATTTCAATATAATAATTTGATTTTGAGCAAATTAGGCTAATTTTGAAAGGAGTAAAAAGTAATTAATTTTATGCAGATCAGTTATGAGTTCTATATGTAATGTTCAGGATCTTTTATTAATATTATTTAATTTATTAATTAAATTTTTCTTTTTTAAATTATTTTAGTTATTATATTTATTTAATTCATTTATATTATTTATTTATTTTATTATTATTATTATATATTTTATATAAATGAAAGTAATTTGATAATATAAATAAATAAAATAAAACTTATTTTTATAATAAATTTTGATAACTAAATTGTTTAATATAGATATGCTAATAGAAGCAATCTGTTTTTTTATTTGTTAATTAATTTTTCACATATAATTTTATTTTATTTTCCTTTATTCTTTTTATTTTTTTATATGAAGAAAACCTTTTACTTAATATAATATTATTAATAAAAGAATTAGTATCTCTTTAACTATTTTACTAACAAATTTGTAAGCAATTTTAATTATTTTTAAATATTTTAAAATATATTATTAAAAAAATTCATACTTTTATAATAAATTTCATGATATTTTCTAAATAAAAATTAAAAAAAAAATGTAATTAACTAGTGATTTTTTTAAAGTTAAATAAATAATAAATTATTATAAAAAATATTAAAATTTTAAATTCATATCTCATATAGTTTACTATTTATCAATCTCAAAAATATAAAAATACTACTATTTAATAAGTCTTAATGTAATGAATCTAATAAATAAATTTATATTTATATAATTATTAAATAATAAATTATTTTTAAAAATTAAAAATTTAATATATATTGATAATTATTAATTTCAAAAGTTTAAAAATACTACTATTAGATACATCATAATATGATAAATTTAAAATTTTTATTTTATCTTTTTATAATCATTAAATATCAAAATATTTTAAGTTTTCTAAAATATTTTAGAAACAATTTTATATTTACAGTTTAAGAGATAATAATAATACTATAAATTAATTAAATAAAGATATTTATTACAAAAAGAAATAAATATTATAATATAATATAAATAATAAAAATAAATAAAATAATTAAATAAATTAAAAAAAATTATAAAAAAAAAGAAAATTAAGTATTTAATTTTTATTATATAATTATTTGATATAATATTATTTTAAATAATCATATTATATAAATTATATTTACTAACTTTTGCAGATTACTCTTGATATTATTTTTTAACATTATTAACTTTATACTTAATTTATTAAATTTAAAATAATAATAACTAATAATAGGATTAATAAAGAAACTATTAAGTTACTATGAAACAATTTATATATAATTAATCATAAGTTTATAACTATTTAGATAAGTATAATAATTTTAATAAATGTAAGAATAATAAATATAATGATATATTAAAGGAAAATAATATATATAGTTTAGAAAAAGATTTCTTTATTATAGAAATTGTATTCTTAATAATTCTTAACCTTAGATTTTAAGTTTTAACTTGTACTTTTAAATTATCATTATTATCTCTATCTTTTACAAAAGTAATTTTGTATTCTAATTATATTATAAAAAGATCACTATTTAATATGATTTAATACTATTTAATATATAATAATTTATAATATTAAATTTAATAAATAAAATATATTTTATAAAATATATTTTAATTATAATAAAAATATAATAAATAATAATATAAATAATAATAATACATAAGATAAATATAAATAATATAAAAATATTAATTATGTTAAAGAAATTAAAAATATTGATAATGTTAATTTTTATCGATCTTTATAATGTAATAGGATTAATTTCATTAGATATTAATATTAATAATATTAAAATTTTAATGTACTATACTTTATTAATTTAATATACTTTATATTATAAATCTTTACATTATAAACTTTTAAAAATTATATATATATAAATCTATTAATAAACTAATAATTTTATGTAATAGTATGAAATATATGATTTATAAAATATTTTGCATTAATAAATTTATTAATATTATTTTTTATTAATAAAATTTTAATAATTAAATTTTAATTAACATAATATATTAAACCTTTAAATAATTAATTACACATAATCTTAATAATTTATCATAATATTAAAAAAAATAAATTTTTATATTTTTTTATTATAAATAAAAATTAAACTATTTATTTATTATTAGTTTTAATATAATTATTAAAGGAGAAACAAATATATTTAGTATTAAGAATTTAAAAAATTTAACTAGTGAATTCAAATCTTAAATCTTTTATGATTATAATAATTATAAATATTTTTAAAAAAATGTAAAAAATATCAATTTATTAATTAAAAATAAATTTTAATGATTATTTTTTATACTTTATATTTTTATTTCAAGTATATTTTTAATTATATAATAATAAATAATTAAATTTAAAAGATTAATATAAAGTTAACTTAACTATTACAAATAATTAAATTGTCTATCCTGTAATGATATCTGAATTAATAATTAAAATAATAAATATTATAATAATTTTTTATTTTTTAATAATATAATAAAAAATCTAAGTTACGTATAAGCTAAAAATTTGTAATTTTAAAAATTTATTATTAAACTTTGACAAAATTATTAAAATTTACTTTTAGTATATTAATTATAATAAAAATTTAGAAAATATATTATAAAGAATAACTTTAATTATTATATTTATAATTTTATTAATCTTATTAGTAGTAAAATATTTAATCAGTTTACAAATATATGAATTTTTAAGAAATTTTAAAAATTTTTTATAATAAAATTTTTAAAATTCAAATTTAAAATTGAATTATTTTAAAAACTTCTTAATTAACTTAATATTTCTTTTAATAAAATTAATAAAGTATTTTTTATTTAATTATTATATTACTAAAATTAATATTTAATATTTTATTAAGAAATTAATACTTATTTTTAAGTTCACCTTTCAAATTACTTATATTTATAACAAGATATTCATATAATGTATTTAAAATAATTATCTAATTTATAAATATATTTAATGGAATCATTTACTAATATTAACTTAGAATCTTTACAAGTAAGAATATTTTAATATAATAAAAATATTATTGATATTGATATCAAAAAAAATTTACAATATCTATAATTGATAGAAGATTATTAAGTTGATTTTAATTTTTTTGCAAAATCTATTTGCATTTTCTGTATACAAAAAATATAAGATTTAACTTTACTTGAATATCCTTATTTTTGGACTAACAAATTTCAAGCTAAACATATGTTATGCTAAAATTCAGATTGACTATTCCACAAACTATAAATATAAAATTGTTTTTTAAAACATTTTAGGAACTTAAATATTTTAATATTTAATAATTATAAAAAGATGAAATAAAATTTTTAGATTTATCATATTATAATGTATCTAATAGTAGTATTTTTAAACTTTTAAAATTAATAATTATTAATATATATTAATTTTTCAATTTAAAAATAATTTATATTTACCGGAACCAACCAACCTTTGACATCATGATTTTTATTTTTACACTATTTTTGCGAAAAAAAAAAAAAAAAAAAAAAAAAAAAAAAAAAAAAAAAAACCAATTCGCGTGCACGATTTCTCGTCACACGGCATCAGTCAAATGACAACCCAAAGTCGTTACTCAACATTCCAAAGATTTCTCTTTAAATGGTTTCGAAGAGTATACACTAAACCGTTACGGACAAATATGGGAAGAAACCGATTATGATAAATAATTTAATCACATGGTTAAACATTAACGTTATTCCACGGAAACGTTATTACCTACCGACCTAATTAGGATAATTAATAATAAGCGAATCATAAATTTTAAAAGTCGCACGTGTGATCAAACGGGATGACAATTTGTTTTAATGCCTTAAAATTTCTAATAAAATAGTAATAGCTCCGGAAACAATTTGGAAATCCAATTTAAATGGTTAAATTAGATTGTTTTAAATTTAATTTCGCATCAAAGTAAAAAGATATTATGATAAAACAATCAATTAAATTTATTAAAAAGGAATAAGTGATAAAGGTATAAAGTGAACTTGAGAGAATGTAAAATAATTAAATCATGATGATAAGATTTTACGTACCATGGAAAAAAAAAGAATATATAAATCATTGAAACTGGTCATGCAATAACAACAACATTTAAGGAGCGATTACAATATTCGAACCCTATATAGGCGAATAGAAGGGAAGGGTTATGGTTATTAAAATAGAATCAAATAAAATCATTGGACGTATACTAAACCATAAAGAAAAAGGTTGAAACCTTAAAATTTTTCTTTGATATGGCGCAGAAGACCGTTTCAAGGGGGGGTTTTTTTTTCAAACATTCCGGGAAACTTATTGGCCGTAAACAAAAAAAGAATTTTATGTGGTGGTCTTGTAACCCAGCCGTCATAACAATACCTGTCCTACTCATTCTTCATTAAATAATAATTAAAAGTGAATTATCAAAAGGGAGGTACAACATTTACAACAATTAATGAGAATCCAATGATGGTACGTTTACAAATTATTGTTTCTTCACGTGATTTATATTACACGTACTTGCATCATGCATTCACACACAGATTTGGTGCTGGATTGTTATTCACCAGATGGTCTTACGTTGTTGGTTTTATTTTGAGTCTTATGGTTCGGCCATGGCTTAATAGTCCTTTCTCTCAAACATCATAAAAATGACGGTACTTCCGCAAGTGCATCATTGGTCCACGGAAGGTTCCGATCAACAACAACAACAAAAAAAGGATTTTTACGCCGCAGCAATTGTCGCAAGGGAAACAGTTTTGATGGGTGGACTCGGTAAAAACGGTAATTACCCTTATGATTTGGAAAAGACCAAATGGGTTGCAGGTGATGGTTTTTGAATGGAACATCCCAACCAAGATAATCAAAAGAAGGAAATTAAGAGAACCCTCGCAAAATGACCAAAAAAAGAAACTATGACATGCAAAATCATGTCATTTTGATAAGTTTTTTTCGGTGATGTCATGATATCTTAATTTTCAACCAGAGCATTTGAGTAAAAAAAAAAAATTCTTTGTAATTAAGGGGAATCGTTTAGGAAGTAATGAACACCGGATAGGTTTAGCGTCGTTCGGAGAATTTTATTTTCCGTTCAAGTTATCACCAAACGGTCAGGTGACACGTCGTCTTTATTTTTTTTTATCCCTATTAATTTACCCAGTGCATGACTAAAATGTGTTGTTCGCCAAAACATTTTATTTCTGATCATTTTCGTTTTAATGATTATTTAAATCGTTGTTAATTTTTATCGTTTCGTAGTTGTAATACATTTATGAATAGAAAATAGAAATTAAAGTAATGCAAAGGGACGATTAATAATTGGCGGGACGTATGATTTATCACCAAGCACGCTCAGGTACCTAGGAAAATGTATGCACAGTACAGTAATCCATAGTTTCATGTCCATCATTATATGAGATAAAAAGGACAGAAGATCACATGACCTGCATCGAGATAATGGGTGAACCGATTAGGTAAGATTGTTCTCTGGCCACGGGCAAAACAACAGAGAATGACGGTCTTTGGTTGATTTCAGCTAGTGACACTGTGATTTAACCATATTTTTAGAACAAATAAAATTGTGTAATCGAAACTCCTTGGAAAATAACGATTTTCTTTTGTATGAAAATGATTATAAATAAATTGAGGGAGTTCTACATATGTGGTAATCTTACCACATATAATCACTATCAATTAGAACATCACCATTATATTAGTTTAATGTATAATTTTAAAATACATTGTATAAATAATACAACTATATAAACCACTTTTAAAATCCTGTTCTGAAAATGCTTTCACTTTTTGAATAAACCAATTTTTTTTTTTGGAATTAATCCTTCCCCTATTTTTGAATAGAAAAAAAATCCCAAACAAAACAGCAAGCCACAAGCATTTAACTACTGTAGTAAAAAAAAATTTTCACACTATAAAAAAATAGGGTGTTTTTTTTTTTAAATAAACCATATATATAAATTGTATATATATAGTCCTCAGCTTTGTCGTGAATTTATTTTTTCTTGCTTGAGAAAAATTGAAGAAAATTTTTTTTTTTTTTAAAAAAAAAATTAATAATAATCAGAGAATAGGGTTCTCAACTAAGCAGAGCCTTTTCAGATCAATAACTACGACGAAAAGAAATTTTTTAAAAAAAAAAAAAAAACCTCAATCCAAGTCCAACTTGTTAGAGCCACTTTTAACCCAGTTTTTTTTTTAAAAAAAAATATAAAACCTTTTCAAGATGCAACAATTTTTATCCAAGACCATGCCAGTTAGCGTGTCTCGCAAAATGTTGGAAGACCTTAACAACATGAACGACAGTAACAACAGTGATAGTAGTAATATTAATAATAATAATAACCAAGTACCAACGCTCTCTTCATCGCCTCATTCATATTCCTCCTTAAGTTCGATATCTCCGGATCCGTTTGACCAAAGTCATTCATTACATAGACAACCGACATTTTCTTACATTCCAATACATAAACGACGACGTTCCTTAGGTCCATCCCTTATACATTCGATGTCATTTAATTCAATATCAACGTCCATTCCAAGTCAACATTCGTTGATGAGCTTGGCTTCAACGACATCTTCAATACAAACGCCCGATAGCGAAATGCCGACAACTCCCACCTCATTATTTTCTTCAACGTCCGATCAATCAATGGAATATACGAGTTTTCCGAATTTAGAAAAATTTACTGACGAATGCTGGACTGCAATTCGTGTCGAAGAAAAGAAAGATGTGTCGATTGACATCGAAATGGAATCTTATGATGAAATGTTGGTCGGCGGTGTGCGTTTTCACTACACTTAAAGAGAAAAGGAGATCCTTCTTCAAAACGTCGGCAACCCCCCGTTCGAAAAAGTTTTTAAATTAGATTTTTTTTTTTTTTTTATTTTTAATTTTTAGATTAATCTTAATCTAATAGACATCTTTTATATCTTATCAAAAATTAGTAGTTTATTATTTTATCTCGTTCATATCTTTTCAATAATTTCGATCCTCCACCGAATAGGCACACATTCAATTTTACATTTGAGCATATTTTTTTTTTAAAAAGTACTTTACAAATATGTATGAACTTTTTTCGCATATTCATTGTATTTTTTTTTTATTCCCCTTCATTCTGTACATTTTTTTTTCATTTTTCACGCTTTTTTTATTATACAAACTTTTTTTCTTTTCTGAAATTTTCTTTATACTTTTTACTTTTTTCAATTTATTGTTAAAAAAAAAAAAAAAAAAATTTCGAAAACATTGTACAAAACTTTTTTTTAATATTCATTAATTTCAGTTAGTGTTTATTTCACAAAAATCATTTTCTTTATTTTTGTAAAAAAAAAAAAAAAAAAAAAAAAAAAAAATTTTCATTTATATTTTTTTTACTTAATAAAAAATTATAAACCGTTATACCTACAATTTTTTCCTCCGTGTGACGATTATGACATGAAAAATTTTTTTATATTTAAAACGCAAGATGACATCGCTACTCTTTTTGCGATGGCAAAAAACGAGTTTGGTAATTTGGCGTTATAATATGATGATTCATCGTAATAAATACTTTTTTTTTTTTTTAAATATTTTTTGGCGTTTTATTTCATTCGTAAAGTTTTAAAATTTTTTTTCTAAATATATTTGGGTGTACCCGCGTGACGCGTGAAATGTATCCTACCAAATATGTCGTCCGTGGTCGTAATTTATTGTTCAAATTAATAGAAAATAATGTAGGATAAAGCATAATGATTTCAGAAGACAGGGTCGCCTGCATCTAAGGGTACAATAAAAAAGATGGGAAGCATTCGCTGCGCCATAAAGGTTCAAAAGTAATCAACATATTTTTCTCTCTCTCACGTTTCATTTTCTTTCCTTTCCCTTTGTCTTTTTCTCGTTCCTGTTGAATCGCTAGCGAATGATATGACCATTCTCGGTAACAATTAAAAAGTTGCAGGAATTACAATGGACATACCGCAGCAATCTTAAAATCAAATTGAGCTCGTTTTTAGAAGATTTGCATATGCTTGACACATGCTTTTAATAAATTTTTTTTTTTTTTTGTTTTAAAAGAATAACGAGTTTTTAACTTGATTGGTGTTTCGGACTTTGTAAAAAGATTTGTCAATAAATGATGATTATTATTATTACAAAATATTTCCACGATCAAAATGAGATATAAAAACGTAAATGAATAATAAAAATATAATATACATATATACACATAAATTTATAAAAAAAAAAAGATTTTCCATGAGATAACCCGACATTTAGCGTTATGATTTCGGAGTACAATGATAAAATTAGTATTTGGCTTAGAGAAAAGGAAAAACAAATTTATCTTGTTAAATGATTTACATCCACTTCTGCTGAAATGGGATGGATTTGAATTACAATGAACATGGAGTCATAGGATTTTTGATTAACCAAACCTCATTCTTTTTAAGGCTTTTTTTTGAATTTAATCTTTATTCGTTGAATAAACCTCATTGAAAGAGTTCGTAACATGATTCGTTATCTTGGTACGATATTCACAATAGTTAGAAAGGATTATAGGCTATATTGTTCGATATACTATGATAAGATAAAAAAAGATTTCCATATGAAAATTGGTTTTACCTTCAATTGTAAATCAAAAGTAAAAAAAATTTCCCATGCCACGTGTTAGATACTTATTAAATGGTTTTTGACATTAATTATTTTTATTATTATTTTAATTAGATAAATTAACACAAATATACTTTTTCGAAATGGAAGAAATAAGAAAGAAATGTAATGTCATGCACAGTAAATTCTTACATTTGATGGATAAACGTGATTTAGGAAAAGAGGCATTCACATGACATGCGGTTACACGGGTGAGAATTACAAACAAACAAAAGCATTTTCTTTTGACTTTTTTTTTTAGTTCAAAAGAAAGACAATAGCTTGGGCAATTTTTTTTCTTATTAATCTTTTCCTTTTTCTATTTGGTTTTAAAATGGCTTAGATATTTGAGTAACCCCAGGTTTTTTGTTTTTTTTGTGTTTTTGTGATATTTCCATTTGACAGGTTCGACGACGAGTTTCCCATCATCTTAAACTATCTCCAATTTTCTCAACAATATCATAAACCGTTTATATTATTGTCTTAATTAAATTTTTAATCTAAGATCGTAAGTTATGATATAATATGATATGATAATTGGATATATATGTATTTATCATGATAGATTTTTGAATGTCAAGGTGTCATTGTGAAGCGGGTGGCGTTTTGTGTGGAAAAAATCAACTTTAAAAAAAATATGCATGAGAAAATAATATGTATAAAATTTTTTTAATGTTTTTTTTTGTTTTTGAAATAAAACCATTCAAGTTGAAACGTAAACGTGGAAATTTGGCGGGATTGGGGAATCGGATGTTAGGCGGGGTAACCATTAAACATTTTTTTGCGCCTCTTTTTCGTTATGAATTCCCTCACACAGCGATTAACCAAAAATGACAAATGATGCGATTACATTCGGGTTTTCGAGCATAATGTCAAAATGTTTTGCTATTTTTCTTTTTTCGGAAAATTAAAATTAAAAAAACGTTTTCAAATCCTTTTTTATTCCATAAAGAAAAAACAAAAAAAAAAAAAAAAGAGGAGGACCTGACCTGAGAACCTTTGAAAATAGATTATGCAACTTTAAAAATCACGATACTTTTATCATGCATCAATTGTAAATATTTACCACCTTCTTAATAATAGGAAAATAAATTTCATTTCTTATCCCCCCTTTTTTTTCTTGTGCCCAGAAAAAAAAAAATATATAATTTAAGAAAAAAGAAAAAAGAAAAAGAATACATTTTTCCAAACCAATATCAGCTTAGTTCCGAGAAATTCTATCTTTTTTTTTTCATTACGATTTTAAGTCGTCCGTTGAATTTCTTGACCAGGCAAGTTTTGGCTAGTATGATCGACTCGGTTTCAGACGTTTTTGGCAATTATAATGGTGGCGGGTTGGACAAGGTACCACGGAAAATCATACAAAATATGACCATTTTTTTACCGAAACGTTGACGGTTAACTCGAATTGGTAAAAAGGATTTGCTTTGCAACGATCTTTAGTACACTGTGATATCTGAAAATTGTAAGGGTTCATAAAAGCTCGTTGATATACTTGTTCCATTACTAGTTTAATTCAAAAAGGATTTCAAAAAAAAAGGATTTTATCCTTGATATGAAATTTGAGAATTTGTTTTTTAAAAAAAAAAAATGGTCTTATCAATTAGTCTATCTTAAATTTCATGAACCAACTCTAGCTTTAAATTTCCTTTCGCAATCTAGACTCCCATTAAGCCAATAGGGCCATTCTACGAGCGGTAAGATTAGAAATCGAGTTCAGAATTCTTGGAATGTCTGGTTTTATCAAATGTTGAAACGTCATCAAACCATTAAACGAATTTTGGATGTTTATTTTTAATCTTGCCATTAATTATCTTTGGTTCATAAAAAGGGGTTGATTCTTTGATAATCAAATAGATCTTTCCTTTCTTGGACAATTCCAGCCGGGAGTAAAATACGCAGTAATTCTGATCTTACCTCAATTAGTATTGTTCAGGTTTGCGAAGGAAAAAAAATTTTTTTTCCTCCTCTTTATATATTCAATTATTAATTCATTTTTATGTTGTATTCCTTAAAGATTTGCAGAACCTAATTCAATGATGGACATTTTATATCGATAAGGGATTGTGATGGCGTAATCATGATGGAAATGATGCGACACCCAGGGAAAATAAAGGAAAATAGTATGAGGGTTGCTCCTGGATCAACGGTATGGATTTTTCGCTCGTAAAAAAAAGTTAGAGAATGACGCAAATCATTTTTTAATTTAAAATTTGTTAACTTTTACCCACCCCTCCATGTTAGGTTATATACATACGTTTAGTCGGACTTTATCCTAAGTGAAATTTTGACCTGAAGTTCCCATTGGTTTATGAATTTTGCTATTATATTTATCGCAGCATGAATGATTAACATAGAAAATCACTATGATCATCACTTTTTTATTGTCACTTTTCACATTTTTTTTTTTTAAAAAAAACTTTTAATACTAGGAATTCTTTAATGTAAAAGTTTTCAAGCCAATTAAAAATGCACGTGAGAAACAGATTGAAAGAAAACCATCAATTGTAAATGGGATGGATTAATCAAACTTGATAATCATTACTAATATCACTTCAATGCAAATAACAAAAGAACGTCATACGGTTTATTTGATTATCAGAAGCTAAATTTAAACCAATCCGACATCTTTTTAAGAAAATGTGATAGGTTCTTTTTATATGCACTCTTGCAAGATTAAACGAATGAAATAATAAATCTTCAATTGACAAGCCTAATGAATAAGTAATATAAAATTAAAAGGAAATTATTCTTAAAATAACTGTCGTCAATATATATTAGTTTAGTCGCGGTCATAATGTTTAACCATTAATTTGTTCACGTTCCAACAGCTGAACCGCTTCTAACTTCTTATTTTAAAGTGTTCAATTAAAATTTATAAAAGTGTATTAAAATAACTGTTGCGTGCGTTATTTGATTGATTTATGTATAAAGCGTTGTCCAAGTTTTATGCGCGGTTTCATTTAACATTCTTAGATTTAAATACATAGTTTGTAAATTTTTCGATTCTAACAGTGGTTCATTTCTGGATCCTTAATATCAGATTCATCTTGCACGTTCATTTACTTTAACCATATTAAAATGTCTTTGAAGACATCTCTATAATTATTTTCACAGTTATAAGTTAAAAATAAGTATAATATCATTCAATTCACTCACGATTTACATAAAATTTA